CACACACACACACACACACACACACACACACACACACACACACACACACACACACAAACATGCACTCCACAAAGGAAGGCCACGGCCGGCCTGTGGAGTCGAACTCTGGACCTTCTTGCTGTAAGGCAATAGTGCCGTCATCTAACAGCAGTCATTTTTGTAAAATTACTTACATTTGGCAGCAGATTCACTAACAAACCCAGAACTAAGGTGTAGTGAACTATCAGTGATTTTTGACACTTCCTCTCATCCTTCTTCATCTTCCTCAGTCACTTTTCTTGGACTTTCTGCCCAGCAGCCTTTTCAGGAACCAAAGACACTGAATCTAAGTGAGATTTTGTGGCTCACTGCACCAGCAGCCGCTAAACCAGTGAGGCCTACTTAAAGCACTGTATGACCAAAGAGGCATTGTGAATCACAGAAAAAATGCTCAGGCACTTTTGTTTGTGTGTGTGCATGCAGATGTAGCAGAGTGGCACACACCATCAGCAGGCATGTTCCTGTGGATGAAACTGAAGGGCATAGCTGATACCCAGCAGCTGATCATGGAGAAGGCGTTGGAGAAAGAGGTCAGTGTGAACAAACATGCAGGTGCTGTTCTCTTTTCAGGTTAAGACCTGCCTATTGAACAGCAGATACCCCAGAGGCACTTGTGTGCGTGTGTGTGCGTGAGAGGGAAAACACTTGCACAAAGGCTGCTTTACAAGCACCATCCCACACTCTGCCGAGACACAAAACCTGCAAACATCTCCTCACAAACACACACACTCACACACAGTGTGTTTGTAATTCCATGCTACTGAATTAGCTGTGTATGAACAAGAGTGGGTACAATCGGGATTTTCCAAGGCCTCTGCACAGCAGGCTCGTGTCCTCTGAGTCCTGAGCATTTAAAGCCTTCATACAGCAGATAATAACACCACTGTGTCATTGGACAGAGGAGGAATAATGGACAGCTGAATCTAAAATGAGTCTTTCAGTGCTGTCATAAATGCCACGGGGAACAGTTTACAGCCTGTGAGATCAGACAGATACCAGAATATTTATACCCAATCCAAACTGCTATATCAGAGCGAGAAAGCTGGTTATCAGAGACAGAGAAGACAGGATGTTGACCAAACATGGAGGATATCCTGGACGTTATTCCTGGTGTTCCTCTCACTTCACATGAATAATGCCACAAATAGTAATTTTTTTTTAAAGTTACCAAACAGAGAGAAATACGACGGTGACACAACCTGGCATAAAGGGAAACATTTGGCCTCACAGTTTGTAACCAGTACCTGAAATCCTAGCAAAAAGCCTGCAGTAACTAAAATATATCACAAAGTTGTCATTTTACTCAGTGAGCTGTTGTGTAAGCTTTTTTGGACTATTAAGTAATTAAATGTAATTTTTATCATTTAGAGTAAAATCTGGTGACCTGCCTGGCTTTATGTTAGCTCAAGTCACAGTTTGGCTGGGGTGAATGTAGGAAAAGACAATATGTAATATGTTTCATTCCCTGTGTAAAAACTGGAGATGTGTAAGAACTGGTGATACATGTTTGTGTGTGTGTGTTACAGGTCCTGCTAGTTCCTGGAGGCGTGTTCATGATCAACAGTAGTGAGCCCTGCCCCTACGTCAGAGCGGCCTTTTCTCTCAGCACACCGGAGCAGATTGATGAGGTAAACAAATGGATAAACAACCAGATAAACACATACAATCTCTACAACTCAATCTAATCTTGTATTTCTTTCCCCACCAGGCTTTGAAAAGACTCTCTGCGCTCATCAAAGAGGCTTTGTGATGGTTTATTCGTCCTTGGCAGATGCAGGATTTTTTAAATATGTGGTTGAAGGGCTTAGTTTAGATTTAATAGTGCGTTCTTATGACTGTCAAAATTATAGTGTTACAAGCCCAAAATCAGGACCTACACAGAAAAAACTATAGGTGTGCTGACTGGGTGAAGAAGGTATCTGATCATTTGAGTGATGCCCGCCTTCCTCAGCTCAGTTTGTTTAGCAGACCAAGAAATCGGTACAGCACAGCCTAAACGCTTAATGAAGTTCTTCTAAATCTAGTTTTTCCAAATCTAACCATCACCCATCACAGAGACGTCATAATCTCTGGGATGAATTCATGTTAACAAACAGATCATTTTCCAGAAGAAAAATAATCCCTTTCTTAGCGAGCAGGAACAAATGATCAGCTTTAACCGAGCACATTTATCAGGACTTCAGACACAGCCTTAGTGCCATCATCTAAAATCCTTTGTATTCTGTTCTTAAGCTTCTTAAGGACGAACAGATTTAATGCGTCTTGGCTTTCTTTAGTAATGACAGATAACCTCAAAACAAGAAGGGCAGTCAGGCTCGTTTGTTAGAATTCAGGTCCTCTTATTTTCTGGGAAAGAAAATAAAAATACTTCAAGGAGCTGAACGCACAATGAACCAGGAACATGAAGGAATCAGACCTGGTTGGTCCATCATGAAGTCAGAGAGCTCCGTCTTAACAGTTCTTGATATAATTATTTTAAAGTAGACCAAAGGCCTCTGCTACAAAAGCAGGATTTAGGTTTATCTGGGTAACTTCAAGGTTAGCCCTGAGTTTTCTGTACTATGAAAGTGGTTCACTTTCATGCTGAAACATTCAAGCAAGTAAGTAATACAAAGGGAAACGGAGAAGGACGAGGTGGAGGGAGGAACAGAAAACGAAACCCTGAAAACACTAAACATAAATAAACTAAAACTAGGAACTGAAACCACGTAGAAAAAGCAAGGACTCAACTCCAAGAAAGAAGAATACAGCAAGACCTGAAGCACCACATAGCTGAATCGAAACCTCAGCACAGCAGCAACCTCAAAGTAAGAGGATCAGAATATCCAACACATTAAAAACCCTCTAAAGAAACTCTGACCCCTGGGACCCAAACCAGGGCAAACATGGCAGACACAGCCTCACTGCTGTATAATGAACAATGGCTACACAAACTCATTACTGCATGAGAACATGGGTTTTATCTCATCTGTGAAATAAAGTAAGGACTTTTTACCTTTTGTATTTTGTTGTATTTTTTTTTTTGAGTCTGTTTGTAGTTTGCTGCTCAGGGATTGGTGCAGATGATAAAATCAGATCATATTGCAGGTGGCCTGATCTGATTTCACTTTACAAAGTAATTGGTGTGGTTCTTACATAGTGCTTTTCTACTCTGAGCACTCAAAGCGCTTTAGAAAACTTGCCTCATTCACACCAGTGCTTTTTTCTACGCTTGTTCTAGCTAACATTCACACACATCCATAGCAACTTGAGGATAGTATCTTGCCCAAGGATATTTGGTATGCAAAGTGGAGGGACCTGAGAGCTGGTCAGGTTCAGGTGGAGTCATGAACAATTCAGCACCGACTCGTCTTCCTCTTCATCCTTTTTTCTAAAGTCTGCTGGCTCTCACATAACAGCAACAACAGGGTCTATCAGTTTGGTGGGAACTGTTTTCTTCTCCTTTGTACAGACTTCCTGCCCCCGCTGTGTTAATATGTAGCAGTCTGAAGTGTTTGTGTACTGCTCAAACATTCATCTGGAAAGGAGGACGGGGTCAGCGAGGTGGCTTAGATACAAGACTGTTAACACTTTACCCCTCTCACTGCAGTCGTGGATGAAGCGTTCAAATTTGAATGCAAAGATTTCTGTAAATACCAGGATGGGAATCTGAACAACAACTGAAGAGGAGCAACTGTGAAGAGGTCTCACTTTGAATGTGTTTCAGTCAACAGTAACTTTAAAACCGAAGCAGTGCCCCAGATTTGTTTGGTAGAATGTGAAACATTAACACAGAAATGGATGAAAGCACCAAAATCCTCTCTAGAGCAGAAAAGCTGAAATTCTCTTAAAGTTACTGAATAAACTTTTGTTTTGTTTTTACTTTGAAACAATAAAAACAACCTTCCACACAAGCTAAAACACACAGCCTTAACCTCCACTGCTTCTATACATAGATGAAGCATTGACTTAATTATTGACTGCCTGCTGAGGTTCTGCCATATAACGTCAATCCCCGACTCGCGCTGTGGCTTCAGGGTCTCCTTTTATCAGGCCTGGTAAACAGAATAACAGCCTGTACAGGCTGAATGACCCTGGCCGGGTCTAAATTTAGAGCAGCCTTTATTCTGCCTTTAATTGTTTCAAAAGGAAGCTGGCACTGTGATCCACATACAGTCTTTTCCTTGAACGGCCTTTTAGAATGTGTTTTCACCACAGCCCATTTACCTCTTACTATAGGCCTACGCTGTAATGCAGACATGCACAAAATAACCTACTTAGTGTGCCATGCTATTAAATGCCACAAGGCTTTATGTGAGCGAGGTTATCAGTCTTTTGCACTGGAAAGCTGTTCAGACCTTACTTCTGTCCTCGTGGGAGTCTGGAGGCCGGGCTGCATAAACATGCAGCAGTTATATCCTGTGTGAGGAAGGATAAACGAGGCTCCAGCACTGATGCTCACAGGTGTGTTGTGTATTAAAGCTTCCAATTAATAATATCTTACTTCGTGTGTCTAGGTTTGTCTGATCTATCTGAAAGTAAACCATGTAAACACAAGTATCATTTTAAACCAGCCCATGGTGCTTAATTTTTCATTAAATTAAAAAAAATCTACATTTTTTAAACCTGTTTTGTGTATTAATTTGTGGCTTTTTGTGGTTTAACTTGTCAAGCTCAAGTTAACATAATTTCCAATATCTTCCCGGCCTGGTGTAAGCTGCTAATAAATTAACCAGAGAGCATAAGAGAACCGGTTTAGTGATGGTTTGGATAAGTTGAAGTACTGGCAGCATATTAGCGGTATTAGATCGTATTGCACTGCACCAGTATTTGTTCATGTGTTGCATTTTTCCCACCCTCTGCGCACCCCACGTGATCAAAAATCAAGCAAAGAATGTTAAAATGGATTAATTTCTAGAAACCATGTCACAAATATTCTTTTATTGTATAAAGTGAGAATTGAGTTTGAGTCTGGCAGCCATCTGTACAGGCAGGGCAACCCAAGCAACTGGGCGACGTTGCCTCCCTCCGTGCCTTGAAGCAGCTCAGTCGTCGTTTGCAGAGCGAGCTCAGCGGTCCGATGAGGAGGAGGACGATGATGCCCGAGCAGAAATAGCACAGCGATAACCGCCGACTATGGTAGTTTCTACCAAACTTTCGAGGTGAAACAGCGGCCGACCATGATGTGAGTATGAAGCCCGAGTTTTATTAGCGGGGGAGTCGCGGATTTTGCCGTTTTTAGGACCGTTTATCCGCCGCCGCTGCCATTGTCAACGGTAAGGACCGGCTTGCTGGACCGCTTGGCTCTCCGCCGAGGAGGTAACGTTGCAGCATTACCCGGTGTCTTTTCAGCTATTTGTTTCTCCTCTTTTGGTCCAGTAACGTTGACAATTTAACTGTAGCGATGCATGAAATGAACCCTCGTCCTGTGTAAACAGTCTGCGGTGGCACAGTTCTGGAAGGGTCCCCATACATATAGCTGCTGTCCAGCACGTAGCCGGGTCCCACGCCCTTGTTTTATTTTATTTTATCCTCAAGCACAGTTTAAAATCTTAACAGCTCAACCACACATGACTAATATCCGCATTGACATATCTGTATTCTACCTAATTGATAAAGTAATGTAGGTAACGTTATTTTCGTCGGAGGGACTTTACGTGTGACAGCGGAAAATAGCCGGAGCCCACACACAGCTCCGTTATGTGGCAGTCTCCCTTTGTTTTCATACTAATCGAGCCCAAAGATGCGGTTGTAACGCAAAGCAAGGCTGCCTATATGGATAAAACGTAAAAAACAACAACAACATTGTTAATCGTAGTTGTTGTTAAGCTGTACTATGTGCCTTATATCTGTCTGATGTAACACTACCAGCCTTTAGCTGGAATATTAGCTCGATGTCAGCTTCAGACTAGCAAAAATGCTGCCGTTTGATGTTGCTAACTTTGAAGTCTATGAATGAACATTTAACGGTGTTTTAGAGAGGATTTCTGTGTGACTGGCTCAGATGCGGATGCAGTTTATTGCAGTGGAAGCTAATTGAACAGTAGATACCGTTAACCCTGCGAGACATAAAGGAAATGGGCGATTAGTGTAATAACAGCAGCAGTGGTCAAAAATATGGTATTTACCGGAATAAGAACGCAGTGTAGGGGAAGTAACTGCGAGGTTGCAGGGTTAAGATTGTTGTCACTTTAAATCTAGCACAGAAACAGAATCTGCTGCAGGTTATTAAACATGGAGTGCGTTTCTTCATAGTGTATATAAAGCAAAGTGCTGGGCCACACCTCATAATCTTTGAATTCAGGTGGTTAAAATCAACCCTGAGTGGTGTTATTGGAGCGTGGGAGCCTTTAGGAACCACAGCAACTCACCCACAAAGTCCCAGATACAGTTACGGAGTGGGGTCGCTGAGTGCTGAGGGATGTGGCATAGGCATTAACATCAACACAAAAACTGCCCTGGGAGCTCTTGTAGGAGCAATATGCAGGTGGCCCAGTACTTTTGTCCATGTAGTGTAATTGTAAATGGATACTTTTAGATCTTAGATCTTTGTGTGAACAAAATTCAAATGTAAAAACGTAATCCTGTCTCACAGAAGTGTATTAACCTATGGTTGGAGTTCTAGTTATCAAAACATCTGATTATTATTAGTTTGTTCCTGGGCTGTCTCTAATGATTGCATGCCCCTCACTTTCTTGCTTCAGTGAGATGCTTCATGGACCTGAGCTGAATACCAAATTACCCTCAAGCATCACGAGATAGCCAGTCTGCAGGATGGAGTCCCTGGAGGAATGACAGTTTCGTCCCCCTTGGGTAACAAACCTTCAGCTAGAGAAAATGAACTGGGCCGGTGGATTCGTTTTTCTGGTCCTGGTGTTCTTCATCGCCTCGCAAACTGCCGGGGCCTCACAGCTTAACGCAGACGGAAACTACACGGAAACCGGTAACGCGACAGACGGAGGATCTGTCCCCGCTGTGTTCACAAGCGTGAGCCAGATAATTGCCCGAGAGGGGAGCTGCACACTGATTGATTGCAATGTCACTGGAGACCCATTCCCCAGTGTTCAGTGGTTCAACTCCCACGGTCACCGGGTGGACACGAGCGGTGAGATAGACTTTTTTAAAAATTCATTATAAACCTGGTTTCCTGCTCTCACTTTCCTATTATAAAATGATCACATTAAAGCAGCCCACTGAAGTGAGTGGTTCCTGACTGTTTTTCTTTTTGCAGTGACATTTTTATTTACTTGCAGCATCATCATTGTTACCACATGAGTTTAGGGTGATTTTCTTAATTGGAGTACGTTAACCAGGACTTAGAAATCAGCATAAACACTACAGGTTTCTCCCCACGGGAGCTTGTGCTGTGGGCTTTAAACATTCTGAGCAGTCATCGTAAGAATCTAAAGACCAGAAGCGTTGCTGGCTCTGTATTCAAAGAGGAGTCTGACTTGTGTTCCTGGGGGGATTGTGGCCCAATTATTCTCCATTTTGTTTGGCAGCAGTGATTATTCTTTTTCTGATGGATGGTCTGTGTCAATTAGATTCAGGAAGCCTTAAACTAGTGATTTTCTTTCGAGCCCACTATCCTTTTGTCTGTGATCCGCCTTAGTAGAAACAGGGAGGGAGCAGTGGTTTGTTGTTTTCGCGATCCTCCTGAGCCGACCTGTTGAAACCTGCTGTTGAGAGCGAGAGAAAGAGAAGCCGCAGTTGTTATTATGACCTACAAACCCAGAAGTGCGTCTGTACCCGCCACTCAGCTTTTCCCTTGGGTTACACTCAGGAATATAATTAGGGGCAGATAGACTTTCCCATAGCTGGCAGTACTTCACTGAGCAATAAACGTAGCAGAGTCACTAACCTGGATCCTGTAAAACGAAGCCAGTTCATCATACCCAGGACATATTTCTGTTATCAGGTCTCACTTACTGTAACATTACCAGTCAAACTGTCACAAGAAGCTGGTTATCGACTCGAAAAGTCTACCCAGGGTTTATCAATCTAGCTGCCAACACTTTCAAATGAAAGAGGGGTGACGTTAGCAGTACCTGGCCAATCAGAAACACGCACAGATCTGCTGGTGAAAGTTCTATGCATGCTTTTTACAAAGATAAAGGGAGCAGATGTGGGTGTGCGAGAGGAAAAGGGCTGTATGAATGTGTGTGTCTGGCTTTATCAAAGGATAAGTGAAGGTCCAAAAGTACATATGTGTCCTGTTTATGATTAAGGTTAAAAGAACAAAAACTATTTTCAAACAATTAAAACTGATGCTCATCTGGGAACAATAGCGACTTTTAGACCCAATTTAAAAAAACCAAACCTTAAACCTTCTTACTAACTCAGCGCTAAGATCTGAGGGATACTCCAGGAATAGTGCCTTTCCCTAGAGCTGATTGATCAGTAGTTTTGTACCTGTTGATCTCTTATTTTAAACAGAACATGCTCAAGAGCAGGTGGCGTGTGAAGCAAGAGTAAAACACCTAAGGTTAACCCTGAAGTTCCCTCGATAAGCCCCACATCCTACTTGGTAGCACAGGCTTCTGCAGTTTGTTAGCTCGTAGTACTCGGCAGCACATCAGTCATTTTATAATCTGGTGGTGGTGATAAAATTAGAAATGCTCGCCTCCACATGAAAAAGGCGGATGGGCGGGACACTGTTTGCTGGCCAGGCTACATTTCCTGAATGCCCATTCATCCTTCTCCTCCGGAGGATAGCAGTGTGGGAAATTGATCGTGATTGCCGAGTAGAAAGGAGCAGAAGTGGTTTTTAGACCTCATACTGCAGATTTGTAAAAGCCCTCTGTGATTTCTGTCCATCTCTTGCTCCCACACAGTAGAGACAGTGAGTAGCTGGGGAGGAGGTGAATGCACTAAAACGTTGCTCTGTGGGGGAAATATGCAGCAAATAGGGTCGTTAAAAACAACTTTCAGCCAAAGGTAGAAAACGGCAATAACTCAGGAATGTTAACTGCATCTGCAGAAAGACTGCAGAGCGACTAGAACGCACCTGCGCTGTGCTGGGCTGCAAAACCTTATCAGACAAGCATCTCTTAAGCTGAGCTCAGCACAAAGATTGGAATCAGGTTGAAACAACAAACTTTGTTTGGTCTGTAAGTAACAATATCTCCACCAGGACCTCCGCAGCCCACTCAGCAATATGTTCATACAACGCTTTATTCTATACACTTTGGTCTACCTCACATCCACGGTCACTCACTAATTAACCTGGCATTACAGGTGGATGATATACTCGAAGTCATATTATAATATGTCAGCAGCATTTATAATATTTCTGATGATATAGAAGAAGAAAAAACACTGAATGGTAACAGCATTATGGATAAAGTAGGAGTGACACAGTGCAAGTTTAAATGTAAGCACACAAATATAACACAGCTGCTTAACGCTTTACTTTAATTGTTCTTATTAATAATCTAAGCCTGTAACGCGTCAGGAGCTGCACAATATTGTCACATAAAAATGAAATTGATATTTTCTGCCTGGGATGTTTCCACACAGTTACTGTAACTTTCATCCACCATTTGTCATATGGAGTGCAGCTAGCAAATACTCCAGCAAAGCGTATCCTTGTTATGCTTAATGATGGGTTATTGTTATTTCTTTTAGGGCTGCAC